GTATATTATAGCTATAMCTACTATATATTATAATATTTTGTTAGGTGATATGACCGTGTACGAGCAGTCACTCCTGATTATTATATTATTTTATTACCTATATGTTATGTCTAATTTGGTAATGTTTTACAGAATAAACAGAATAAACTTCAATATTGTTAGGTAGGCAACCTACTAGTTTTCTATAATTTATGATAATAACTCGGTAATATCATACGCTGGCGATTAATGGGGCACGCTCGATTTTATCACAAATTTATAACTGTGCACTTATTTAAATAATTGTTTAGATGCAACATCAACTCTTGTAGGATCATATTTTCCAATATAATATTATAATAAATTATTCTTGGATATATCGTAAAATGTTAATWGTTATGATTATACCAACTAATAAATATAGTAATATTTATAGTTGAGTGCCTATACTGCGCATTACACTATTTCTTAGGTATATAAAATTCAGACGATTAAAAAAAAAATGTAAAACTAATTTATTATCTGTACTATCTACTAATCAAAATCTTAAATTTTACATACCTAACTTTGAGATCATCTATGTAGGTACATTGCCCATATATATTATATATCCATTCAAAAATCCAATATACTTTTATAATTGTTTTGCTTAACTTTTATAGTACTTACAAGTTTAACTAGGAATATTTTTTAAGGAGAGGAGCTAAAATTGTATCAACAGCATAAACGCCGATCATTAATATTTTAAACTAAAATTTGAATAAAAAACTGTAGGGGCTATGACTATAAATCGTTTGTTTTTACACTAGTCTTAGTTCTTAAAACTCATTTAATGGCTTTGAAACCGATCGTAGGTACCCATAATTGTTATATAATATTAAGTACCTACATAAGATTTTATTTAAAAAAAAAAACGATAAGTCTAAAACTCGTTTTAAATGAATAATTTGAAGGTAAATCGATAAATGATAATCTTGTGATCATTGTAAATTTATAAAATAATATTATTGTGTTATTTTGTAACCCAAATAATGCGATTACGTTAACAATACGTCAAATATTATTCAACAGCAGAAACGGGATGTACTTTATGCAATATCTAATTTCAGAAAAAAAAATATCTTATAAAATATCTGTATATACTTTCCTATGTTAGATCATGGACCAATTGCGCATAAAACAAACTTTGTGTTTTTGGATAAGTTAACCACTTGCATTCCTTTTTTACTGTCAATATATCAATGCATGCTCATCTTTAAGTTTTATAGTTGTGAATATAATTGTTTTATATTTATATATTATTACTGCATGCGACCCTATTAAATATATTTTGTATTTGAAAAACAAAAAAAGTTGTTAATAGTTAATTCGGTGCCTATATTCTCTATTAATATCGAAACATTCATAAAACATTAGATATTGTTTCATTATTAGGTATTAAATAACTAAATTATGAATTTGAGTGATAGAAGAATACAAGTTTTCATTATTGTTACATATCTATTAAACGACCAGATTGTTGGCATGTTACACACTTCTATATTTATATATACAGAGTAACTCGATTATGATAACAGATACTTTTATGTGACCAATATAAAATAATGTCATTCTGAATGACTCATTCATTTATATTTCACCCAACATATGGCTTGTATATTTACTGAAATTTAACAATCAAAAAGTGTTCTAAAAAAACTAAAAAACTTATCTTGTTAAGTATTAGTAGGAATTTCGAGTATTTTGTTTTGACGTTTCATTAATAATTTAATATGGAACGTGTTCAACAACTGTTGTCTCAACTTTGAAAATGACTGTAATTTGGTCTATTGACTCTAAAATGTTTTGAACACAATTAGTATATTATGAAAAGGTAATTTGAAGCGCAATTGGTAGAGAACCATGTTAAATACATAATTAATATATATTGAATTTTCTCTTTATTTTAGAAGAATTAATTATCTATGCAGATGGTATATATAGGGGGAGGGGATGGTGCCTTTGCTCTTTTGCAAAAATTCTTAAGAGATCAAACAACCCCTTACAATGATTACGTCACTAAAACTATTACTAAAAGTAGAATAAAATAGAATCAGAAACTACATAATTAATCGAATTTCATATTTGAAAACATGGTTTTTTTTAGTCCTAACCTCATTGATATAGGTATACTCTTATACAGTGGCGTGCCCAGGAAATTTCAATGGGGAGGGATATAT